GTTTGAAGCTCTGGGTTCTATCCCCAGTGCTGATAAGAAAAGAAAAAAAAAAAAAAAAAAAGTCGTGAGGGATCACCTCCTAGTGGTGTCTGTGGCCAGTTTGAGAACTGAGCTGAAAAATAAGCCAAACAAAGCAGGAGCAGTGTGTTGCAGCTAGACAAGGCATCTACAGATAGGGTGTGAGCGGTGATCCCTCTGGCATTTTGTTCAAGGGTGAGGCTAGGATAGCTCACTCCAGTGGTGACATGGTGTAGCAGCCTGTCCAGGAAGGTAGGACTGGACAGCAACATGTGCAGCCTGCATTCCACCCTTCCTGTGCTCTGTGTCCTAGGAGACCTGGAGAAGCTGACAGGGGAATGTCAGCCATGGTCTGAGACCATCGTTTCTTTCCAGGTTTTAGTTGAGACCAACCATCTGCATGTGTTGCCAAGAGAGGCAGGACAGCTCTCCTTCTATCTAGACTAGTCAAAAGGTCCAGGACAGAACCATAAGAACCAGTGGCCTCTGGGGCGGAGTGGCCAGGGCAGGAACAGGCACTGCATCTTAGAACCGTGGCCTTACTCATGGCTGGCCACTCCCAGCTTGAGACCTGATGGTGCCATCCGGCTGGTGGCTGTGTCAGTTATTTTTGTCGTTGCTGTGACAAAAGACCAGACAAGAAGCAAATTAAATGAAGACAGGTTTGTTGGGTCCATTGTGGCACTAGGTGTGAGAAGCGAATGTTGGCCTTGCATCTGAGGTCAGGAAGCAGAGAGAAATGAAGGCTGGTGCTCAGCTCCCTTTGTCCTTTCTGTGCAGTCTAAAACCCCAGCCCAGGGGCTGGAGAGAAGGCTCAGAGGTTAAGAGCACTGACTGCTCTTCCAGAGGACCTGAGTTCAATTCCCAGCAACCACATGGTGGCTCACAACCATCCGTTATGAGATCTGGTGCCCTCTTCTGGTGTGCAGATATACATGAAAGCAGAATGTTGTATACGTAATAAATAAATAAAATCTTAAAAAAAAAGATATTAAAAAAAAGACCCCAGCCCATTGAATGGGGCCACCCACACTTAGGGTGGCTCTGCCTTCCTCACTTCACTAGTCTAGCTAAGCCCTGTAGGTATGCCCAGAAGTTTGTCTCTAAGACTATTCTAGGTCCTGTCAGCTGACAGTTATCTATCCCAGTAGTGAGTTAATCAGTAGGCATTATCTCCACACACAAGAATCCTGGAGTCAGTCTCCAAGTCATCGTCTTGTCGACTGTCCTGCATTTCACTTTGATTAATGCTCACTAGGAAGCCATTTTACTGTTAGCCCTCATTCTGGTATCTGCTGTTTGGGTCATCTTTTCATGCCTCTGCTTGACTGACACAGTACAGTGACTGTTCTCTTCATTTTCATACAATTAAGACAAAAAAATGAAGCAGTGTACTTTTTTTTTGCAATTTCTTTCTAAATTGAAATTCTGTGGAGGTTGGTTTGGGGAAAATATTAGTAATTTATGGTTTAGTGAGTGCCTCTGGAATTTGTATTTGTCTAGTTGGCTGTATTCAGAATTTTTAGAATATATAGTGTGCTGGCAAGATGGCTTGTTGGGTAAGAGGGCTTGCTGTCCAAACATGAAGACATGAGTTCAAATCCATGGCACCCACACAAAAAGCCAGGCATGACTATATGTGCTTGTAACCCCAGCTTTAGGAGGTGGAGACGGACAGATCCCAGGAGTTCCCAGACTGTCTATCTGAGCTGTAATGGCGAGCTTTGGGTTCAGTAAGATACCCTGCGTCAAGGCAGTAAGGCAGAGCTCTAGCAGAGACATATCCTCCTAGATAGACAGACTGTTTTCATGTGGTCATTATTTCTGTGACACACATCCCCCAAATATCCATCTCCAATAACATAATTTTATAAAGGCATATACTGTAAACAAAGTTTATTTACTTGTCACTATGTCTAGCCTCACCAGTGACTTTTGGGGTACACTCACGTCACCATGCTCGTGTGGAGGTCAGGATAACTTGGAGGAGACTCCTCCTTCCCTTTTAGGCCCTAGGAGCCTTGGCCTGTAATCCTGTAAACCAGCTTGTTGTCACATTTGTCAAGATTTAGCCAGCGATGACTTGTGTCTGACATTTATGGAAACTTGCAAGTGCCTGGATGTAAAGAAAAGCTAACCATGCTTTTACAGTTTACAGTCTCAGGAAGAGCCAGGCCCATAAATGTGTGGGCCTGTGAGGGCTCCCACTGGAACTCTCGTAAAGCACTAATGGACATGTCGGAAAGGCAGCAATTAAGTCCAACTGTCAGGTGTTGCGGGAGGAAGTGTTCTTTGGGCTAATCTTTGAAGCTATATTAGTGTCCTGAGGCCTCTAACAAATCTGCAATGAACAACAGAAATTTATCCTCCCCACAGTTTTGAAGGTCACAGTCTGATATAAGTTATTAGCAGCCCTAGAGGCTGGAGAAGAATTTTTCCCAGGCACACCCCTTTCTGTCTCTGTCAGTCTCTCTCTCTCTGCCTGTCTCTCTGTCCGTCTGTCTGCCTGCCTGCCTGCCTGCCTGCCTGTCTGTCTCTCTGTCCATCTACCCACCCTCTCCATCCCCTATCTATGCTTCTGCTGGTTGCTGGCAGTCCTTGGTGTCCAGCTCGGTCTTCATGTTTCTCCCTGGGTCTCTTTTGACCCTTCTCTCTTTTATGAGGATATGCTGTGTTCCCAAGTCTAGAATGGTCTGTCACAAGCTTGTATAAGGGGTCTGACATCTGAAAATCCCTAACTATAAAACAATTTTTTTTCAGATATTTTAAGTTCTGAGAGCAGGGTATCACTGTTCAGCCCACTACTGAAAGGATGCAATAGACCACAAACAGAGGAGCACCTAGTGTGTGCACAGGCACAGTGGGACTCTATGGAAACACCTTTCCAAAGTGAACTTCCTGAAGTCCATGTGTTTCCTTTGAGGATATACTGATATGACTCCAAAGCATAATGCCAGGTAGTGTGGGGTGCAGGGGGTGTCCCAGGAGAGGCAGACAGACAGGTTCCAGCTAGACTCCTAGGAACTTGAATTAAATGGGGTGCACCAGGTGGGCTGGATGGGGCTGGGTCCTTGATTTCATGGTGTTAGGTCATCAAATTCAATTTTCAAAAAAGAAATCTCGTTTGCACGTATTCCCATTTAGTGTTTGCCATGGTTTGCATTTAAACTTAAGTGCTGCGCCTGGCAGGTTATGTTAACCTTTATTTTACCTCACACCATAGGGATGTTTGCTACCTTCTTTCTGTTCTCTGGCAGCAACACTGGGTTAACACACAGCTCGGAGAGGAAACAGCGTTTCTTCACTTGATGAGCCAGTTCTTCAAGTACCAGTCAGTGTGTGTTTAGGCATGGCGTGCAGGACACAAAATTGAGAGTAGAGGGCCGTATTGTCGCATACACAGAGAGAGACCTGGGAACACTCAGCCCAAAAGGGCCTAAGTCTGGACTTCTCCCTGTCTCAGGGATTTTAATGATGCACTCTGAACAAGTTGCTTTGGGTTGGTGGGTTCTTTGGGCTGATTTTTTTTTTTTTCTGTTTAATTCCAAATTACTTATTTTCTCTCCACCCCATAATGCAAATGGTGGAAGTGGCTCCTCTGAGAATCAGAAATCTGCATAAACTGTTTGCCTGGCTTTGCATTCAGGTGTTTCTGTGGTTGTGGGCTGTTCTCTGTATCCATGGTAATCTGCCCTCCCTCCAAGCCGATGGACATTTTATCATTTGTCTTGCCTGTTTACCATTTTGCCTAATTTAGTCCTTTTTTTCCCCCAATTTTTAAAAACATTGTAGATCTTCTTCAAAAGTCAGACTACTCATGAGAAAAGCATCAGACTTTCCCTAGTTGTGAGGCAACCTCCAAAGGCCCTCAGGTGCTGTCACAGCCAAGAGGCACCTGAGGAGACATGGCTGAGTGCAGTGTGCAATCCTGGGTAAGATCCAGGACATGAAGGAAACTAAGGAAATCTGAGCAGAGTGGGGACTTCAGTCAGAAACTAGCTTACTCTATGGGTTCAGTATGTAAGAAGGGTATCATGCTAATACAAGATGTTGTTAACTGTGGAGCTTATGACTCCCTGTGACCCAGAGGCTGCATCCAATGTCTTTTCAGGGGGAGTCTGGCTCCCTACACCTGGCTTTGATCCAGGAAGAACAGAGTTCTAACAAGGCCTCATTTACTCATCAAGGTGACTAGAGGCTGCAGTAGGATAGTCCTGTGCCGGGGTCTGGCCTGTACCAGTCCCACACTACAGAGGCCATCTGTTCCGGACTGATGTCTTTGGGGCTGTAATTGGAGACATCTGAACAGCCCCAGGTCCATCCCTGAGTGGCAGAGTACAGACCTGGGGAAACTCCTAGCTACCCCATCTTGGTTTGTTTGTTTGTTTGTTTGTTTTTGTTTTTCAAGACAGGGTTTCTCTGTGTAGCTTTGGAGCCTATCCTGACACTCGCTCTGTAGACCAGGCTGGCCTAGAACTCACAGAGATCTGCCTGCCTCTGCCTCCTGAGTGCTGTCTACCCCAACTTGTTAAGGACCAGACACAGACAGAGCTTGTCATCTCAGGAGGGCTCTCAGTCCATGCTGGAAACTAGAGTCCACGGTTTATTCAAGCATCCTCTTAAATAGCTTTCCGACAATGGGGGTGACCACAGAAGACATCTACTCTCATGTATAAAGCTGATATCAAATATATCCTCTAATCCCAGAGGCACCCTAAACAGTCTCTAGGCACATAAACAAGCCCTCAGAACAGGTGTGGGTGCACCCAGGCTTAGGTCTGCTGTTGTGCAAACTAGGAGACATTCTCCACTGAGGCCAAGCCATCGGTGGTAATTAGCCAGCATCTGAAAGACAATGGGAGATTCAGGCTACTGGAATTGAGCTGAGGTTTGGACCCCAAAACATTATAATCAATATTTTTTGCATCCCCACAATTTCCCCCTCTTAAATTATTAAAATGATACCTGCGCTTCTGCAACAGGACAGATGGCTGTGCCTGGCTTAGATGGCTTTCTTCAATCTACCAGAGGTGCCCATCATCAAATCACACATTCCGTCATGCTTGTTCTGCCTTAGGTTCCCTGGAGGCAAGAAAAAACCTATCCCATCATCTCTGACTAACCAGTCTCTGTAACAAAGAACGTTAAGTGGGGGATGAGGGCATGGCCCAATGTCATATGCCTCCAAACCTGGGAGCTTACCAGGAAGCAACATCTATGCTCTCACGGCTGCAAGCAATCTCCTGCAAAAAGAGAGCAGAATGAACAGAGTTAAAATGGCCTTTTAAAACCAGCATGGAAATATCTCAAGTCCCTCTTGTTATATTAAAACCTAAATCTGTCTTTCTAAACCATTTTTCACCCTAAGACTTATAAGCTACAACATTACATTCCCGTTAGAATGAACTCCAAACTCCAATGTATCCATAAACATTTGCATAGCATTGCAAAGGTTACAAACATTAACAATCTCAGTATGTACATTTGGGTGAGTTACAATGCAATCAAAAGACAATAAAATGTTCTCACGATGGGTGGAGTGTGAACAACCCCACAATTTAAAACTTTTTCTTCTTTCCCTGTCTAGAGTTCAATGCCCTGTGAGCTTTCTCTCTCTCTCTCTCTCTCTCTCTCTCTCTCTGTCTAAAGTCCTGTGCTCTGCTGGTTGTAAAATTCCGAAATCAAGTTTGCAATATCACAGTTCTTGAATGTTAGCTTCAAAACTTTTTTGTTGATGTCCTGTTCAAATACTGAGAAGGGGCTTTTGCCACTCACAGTCTATATTAGTACCCAGTTATTCTAAATGGGTCCTTTTTCCCCAATGGGAAAAACTGGCAAAACAGTTCTGTGTCTCAAATTGTAGCAAAGGGCAAGCTGTTAGTCATCCAGTTCTTTGTCGGCTCTGGGATAAGAACTCACAGGTCTGGGAAATTCATGTAGTTGGCCTGTGCAGAAACTGTATCTCTGGAACCCACTGCCTCCTTTCTTCCACGGACTGTAGATTCGGTGATACCAAGGGTCAGGAACACTGGTTCATCGGGTCTCACTGGAACCGGCTTGGGCAGGTTCCCACGGTTTTAGGTCCAGTTCTTCTCTGCTCCACGCATCTCACCAAACGGTCTGGTAGCCATCTTGCTTTATCCTTTCCCTCCACCCCAAGTTGGGTCTTTTGCACCATCTAGTGTATGGGCGTCTCCATCTGACCTGTGCAAAAGTCTCTCAGGTCCCATCATGCCAGAATCTGTCTGTAGCAGATTGCCCACTGGCTTCCATATTTAAAAATTTAAAATGAAGAGTGCATGATTTAATGCATCATGTGGAGACTAGGGACATTACTCCCCCTTCTTAATTTTTCGAAGCTGCTTTTTTAGGGAGCTTCGAGCATGCTCTACAATTCCTTGTCCTGGGGGATTATAAGGAATACCTGTTTTTCGATCAGTATTTTATTGAATACAAAATAGCTAAAATGTCTTATAATATCTAGGTCCATTGTCTGTTCTTTATCATTTTTGGAACACCCATGTAAGCAAAACATTTTTTAAACAATGACTTATCACATGTTTAGAAACCTGAATACCTGTTGTTAGACACCCCCCCTCCAAAGCTCAGGCCTCCGGGGTCTCAGCCCAGGGCCGAGGTCACTCCAATCACCAGGCAGATTCGAAAGCTTGATGCAGACAGCATGAGGCTTTATTGTTGTTTAACGAGCTAACCCCATGTTAGCTCAGGTCTTTCACTCATCCGCCATGGCAGATGGCTAGCAAAGACAGCTCGAACCAGCTGCAGAGAGATCTTGTAGGGCAGCGTAAGGGGAGTGTCTAGGGGTACGCACAGGCTCAGGATTGGTGTGCCTCCAGGCTTGGAGGGCTTGCCCTGTGTTGATTGGCCAATTGGTTGTTATGGCCCATAACAACCCCAGGGTGGTTGCTATGCTCTGCGCGTCATTGCTGTGCACTTGTCCATAAAGCACACCCAGAGTCGTAAAGCATAGCGCCACCAGCTAACTTCTGATTGGTTCCTTGCCATGAGGCAGGCATCTGACCTCTTAGTGACCAAGGCAATGCCATGGCGAGCACGTGTTACTGTCATGGCTGCCGAAATGGGGAGCTGGTCCCTTCACCATACAGTTGGTGTGTATACATATTTTAACTTGTCAAATTCAGTAATATGAGTAACATCCATTTGCCATAAATGATTAGGAAGTAGACTCAAGGGTTGATTCCTAAATTAGCCATAGGTAAATGTTGTAGGCACATCTCTCATTGTTTGACAATTTGTTGAGTATACTGTCTCTCTAGTTAAGCCTAATTGCTTTCTTAAACTTTTGTTATTCTGGTGATTCAAGTTATGAGACTCCCTAGTTCTCTCTATCCTGAGACAAACGGACCAATTTTGTTAATCAATCCATTTACTTGTTCCCTTTACCCAGTAGTAGGCAGGGAAAGGCCTGAATGGGCTCCCATGTGACCCATGAAACACGGCAATTTTCTTAGGTGAATATCATTTTGAATTTGCTCAAACAATATTCTAACCTGATCATTACTAGTTCCCATGCATTTAATTGTCTCCATTATTTAAAGAGCTTTTAAAAACATGAAGATTATCAGTATATAAATTAAATGAATCATTTATTAGAAGCTGAAAGACCATTGCAACAGCTCGTAACTCAATTATCTGAGCTGTAGTTGGAGCCGTTTGCTCCGCATATTTTTTACCATCTAAAACATAAGCTGTTCTTCCGTTAGAAGAACCATCAGTAAAAAGCAACATAGCATTTTTTATAGGATTGTTCCTTACTATTTGGGGGAATGTAAAAGGATGTATTAGCTCAAACTGTAACCGCCTATGAGCTGTAAAGTGTTTATTAATTTTCCCTGAAAATTCAGCAAAAATAATTGCTCAATGAATCATTATTTTGAAACAACTAATCAATTTATGTATTATATTTGGTTCTCTGTCAAAGTATCACCTAGATTCTATATTACCGCATTTCTATATTATATATGCTATTTCTTTATAATCAGGATTTAACATTTTGGTTGGGAAGACAGAATAAGCTTTCCATGGTTTTGCACTGCTAACATAACATCTGCTGATGCTGGATTACATTCTCCAACAGTAGAACTTGTCTACCCTTTTTAGTTAACAGTCTGGGTGAACTGGGATCACCATCTCCTTTTAGAATCTCATTTAAATGTTTTAGATCACCAGTAGATGCCCTAAAAAAAGGGACGTAACCATTGAATATTTTTCTACAACTTTTGAAAAATCATTTAAAGATTGCAAATTATCCTTTCTAATTTCTAACTTTTAAGGCTTAATTTCTTTTAGAATATAATGTCTGTCCAAAACAACTCTTGAAAATTATTTAAAGTTTGTGAGGAGTCTTTCCTAATGCAACCTGTGAAGCTCTCACTAGCTGGCAAGGCCTCATTTGCATTTTGGCGGACTTGGCCTGATTTGCATCTACACTGACACCATTCCAAGTGGGGGTCTAACATGGCGGCCGTCTTGAGGCTTCTTCCCAAAAACCTTTTTCTAAATCATGCATTAACTTCTACTTCCTAGATTTCCTTTTCTAACCAATAGAAATTTAGAAGGATTTCTGTATCCTCTCCTCTGCCAAACTCTACAGAATCATCCACATAGATTTCTTTTGCTCTTAAGTCAACACTGTAGGCTTCTGCTATTTTTCCATCGACTGGCTCTGAGGGCTCAAATCGCCAACCTTTTCTTGTTAGGACATTGAATGACTGAATGGATGTTCTTTTTAACTCTATTCAAAGCAATTCAAGTAGCTTTTTTTTTTTCTATACCCGAAGCAATTTAAGTATCTCTTTAATCATATCCAAGGCAATTCAAGCAGTTCCTTTTGTCAACATTCACGCACTAACAATCATATTTCATGTACACCTTATATATTCATAACCTTCACATATCTCTCATCTCTCCTTTTGCCTAGGTTATGATTAGCTTGTTGAAATGAAAAATCCTTAATTGAAACCTCTTGTAACATAGCAGCTATAGCCAATCCTTGAATTATGAGCATCCAAAATCTGAACAAATCTAAATTTATCTATGTTGCCTTTCTTTCTCCATGAAGTCTTAAAACAGTTTTTGACTGCCTGTATTAATAGTATTTTCTATACATTTGGCTGGGCGTCAGCCACGGTAGCAGCTCTCGAGGCTGCAAGTTTCCTAGGTTTTGACCTTGGCCTATAGCTTGCCTTCTGCCCTCTGGGCGGCCTGGGCTGACCCACTGTAAATGATCTGTGGCTGCCTTCCTCTCCTGTATCTCAGAGAACAAACCTGGTTCCTGATTTTCTCTTCTGTTGGGACTCTGTCTTACCTGGTGCCCTCTCTGACCATAGCCAAAGCAACCTCTAGAAGGCTCTGCGCCTTTCTTCCTCCTTATTCCTTGCTTTCTCTGTAGGAATAACATATCCTTAACTGAAGTTCCTGCTGGCCTGATATCTGAACAAATCTTAATAAACTAATTTATTTTCCTTTCTATAAGGTTTTAGTGCTGCCTGGCTGTATTAGCATTTTCATACGCTAGTTGATTCATAATCAAAATTTCAACACCTGTATCTCCAACTTTTCTGGATAATGTCTTCATTTGCCTAGAGACAAAATTCTGAAATAACTCCCTAGGTCCCTGCCTGCTCTTTACAAAGCCTTTGGTCTGTGTCCTAGCAGTTGGAAGCTTGTTTCAAGTTCTCTTGGCAGCTGCGCCAATCGGCGTATACACTGCTATCTCAAAACCTAACTGCTGATTTATATCTTTGTATTGTCCTTCCTCGGCAAGTATCTCATAAGAATCAGGAAAGTTATGGACTCCATCTTTATCAGCTGTGATCTGACATTGCTATGCAAATTCTGCTTTCCACAACAAACAGTCTCCCCCTGACAGTCAGGCCTTAGATGTCTACTTCCAATCTTCTGGGGGTAAGGCTTCTACAGCAATATTCTCTATTAGCGTCTGGGTAAAAACTGCTGTTGGTCTATACTGAACATAAGCCATCTTTAGTTCCTTGAGCTGTTTAAATGGTGTGTACTCTGTCTGTGTTCCCCTGAGCATCCCTATGCTCAAATACAGGAAATGTCTGAAATGCCTGAGCATCTCTTTCTAACCACCGCTTCTCTAATACTAGCTTGCATTGGAGACACCTGACCATTGCGGCTGCCCGCCATGACTTGAGGGGTGCCTGTACCTTAGGCAGATCTATGCTTGCTGCTATCATAGACAAAAGAACATTTCTCTGATCTGAGGAAACCTGTAAATTTCTTATCTCCTGTGAGAGCGATTTTTTAAGCCTCTTGGCTCTTGCTGAATTTTACCACTAGGCTTTTGCCTCTCTGTATTCTCATTTAAAATGAGGGAGGTGAAAACCCTCTATCCTGATACTTGGTAACTCTCTCTTCATATTCATTACAGTCACTCTGCCCTGTATATTTTTTCTTAGCCAACCACTCCTTGGTAGGCACCGAGGTTTCTGTTCTCGTTACATCCCTAACCAGTTCAGGGGCAGATATTTCCCGCTGTCCTACAAGTATTCGAGGTTGCACCCTGCCAAGCCCTGGCACAACTCTGATACAGTTGGAGCCGTGGCTTCTGGAGAGGGAAGGATCCTTTCAAAACTCTTAAACTCTAGAATCTTCTGTACTTGCTTCTGCTTTGCTTCAGCTCTCCTGGCTACTAAAATATACCCAAGTAAATATACAATCACCTGACTACTAATTGTCTGTCTGTCTCATGTCTCCAGCTATATTCATTATTACTCTCAGGGCTTACTTCTCTTTATCGTCTGGCTAATATTCCTCTGTTTTCTGTCTACAATTACCTGCATTTTTTACTCCAGAGCCTAACTCGTTACATTTCACTTCATTATCATCTGACTGACATTCTCTGTCTCATATTTATACGTGTGCATATTTTCATTCTTAGGGTTAAGTAACCCATTTTACTTCTTTGTCAATTGACTAATATCTTCCTGTTTTATATCACAATTATCTGTTTCCTATTTCTACAACTACATACATTTTTGCTCCTGACTTAATGCCGTTCACTCACCACACCTGACTTCTTTTTCCTTCTTTTTTTGTCTGTGAGCTCTTCTTCTCAGACTCATATACCTGGTGTCTATTTCTCTGCCATGTCCACTCCTCTTCAGTGTCTATCACTTCTTCCCCCTTTCTTTGGTCACACATTTTTGGCACCATTTTGCCGGGGTCTGTCCTGTACCAGTCCCCACACTACAGAGGCCATCTGTTCCAGACTGATGTCTTCAGGGTTGTAATTGGAGCCATCCCTGAGTGGGAGAGTACAGACCTGGGGAAACTCCTAGCTACCCTGCCTTGTTAAGGATGAGACACAGACACATCTTGTCATCTCAGGAGGGCTCTCAGTCCATGCTGGAAACTGGAGTCCACGGTTTACTCAAGCATCCTCTTAAATAGCTTTCCGACAATGGGGGTGACCACAGAAGACATCTACTCTCTTGTATAAAGCTGATATCAAATATATCCTCTAATCCCAGAGGCACCCTAAACGGTCCCTAGGCACATAAACAAGCCCTCAGAACAGGTGTGGGTGCACCCAGGCTTAGGTCTGCTGTTGTGCAAACTAGGAGACATTCTCCACTGAGGCCAAGCCATCGGTGGTAATTAGCCAGCATCTGAAAGACAATGGGAGATTCGGGCTCCTGGAATTGAGCTGAGGTTTGGGCCCCAACAGTCCTGGGAGGACTGTGGCAGGCAGAGCCAGACGAGACTCAGCTGTTTGAGACCAGAGATAAGCTAGCTCAATGGCTCACACAGTTGTTTCTACAGAGAGTGAGTTGCCTGAGTGGCTGGGTCCAGACTCTGAGCAACACTACATATGACTGTATTAGGCCAGATTATACAGTTGCTTTGCCCTGAGGAAGATGGAGCCCAGCTCCTCACCTACTGAGTGTGGGCTCCTTACAGAGACCACAACACAGAAAAGGAAATAAGGACCCTGAGGAAGACGTCCCCAGCCAGGTGACAAAATTGGTGAGTCAGCCACATTGGCTAGTGTGTCCTTGATGTAAGATGAGGAAAAGTCCCAAGAAACGCCATCAAAACCTCCAGATTTTCTATCTGCCCTCCTTAGAAGTGCCAAGGTCATCAAACAGAAGGGAAGTCTAAGCAGGCATGGTGGTTATGGGCTGTCACAGCTGGGCTCCTAAGCTATAAGGCATGGGGCATGAGAGAGAAAATAAAGAAATCCTAATGTTCTTTCCTTTCCGTTTCTATGAAAAACACCATGACCAAATCAACATGGAAAGGAAAGAATTTGCCGTGTGCTTCCGGATCACAGTACATCATTGAGGAAAGTCGGGAGAGAAACTTAAAGCAGGAGCCATGGAGGAACCCTGCTTACTGGCACACTCACAGGCTCCTGCTTAGCTGGATTACTTATGTAGCCCAAGGGATAGTGCTGCCCACAGTGGGCAGGGGCCTCCTGCATCAATTAGCAATCAAGATAAGCTTTCTCGGACATGCCCAGATGCCAGTCTGGCTAGGCAGTTCCTCAGTTGAGGCTTTCCTGGCAGGTGACTCTAGGCTGTGTCAAATGGACAATTTAAGCTAATGAGTGAAAGCTGCTAATCCCATGTCAGGGTTGTTTTATTATTTGTGACAGCTGTGCTGGAGCCTCGGGATGATGAATCCCAACTGTCTACTCCTGTAGATTAGAAGACGCGCGAGCGTGCATACACACACACACACACACACACACACACACACACACACACACACACACACACACATATAAATAAATAAAATTTTAAAACTTTTTTTTTTTTTTTAAGAAACTGACACTGAAGGTCAACACTAAAGAAGCTGGGTGCTGTTGACTGTCCTAACCCTGTTTTACAAGCCTTTAGAATGGAGATGGAAGAATGAGCAAATGTTGAGGAGGCAGCCTGGGAAACTGGAGCCCATTTTATGTACTCAGTGAGATGTAGGCATCTACAATATGTACAGTTGATATGAAAATCCTGTTTTGTCCCCTTGGTTTTGGAGGGGATGCTGGTGATCTAACACAAGGCCTTGTGCATGAGAAACAGGCGTTCTGCTCATCCCCACTCTAACCCAGAAGTCTTGATTTAACTAATTAACTAAGTGTCTTGTAAAGTTTGGCGTCATATTTTGTTGTTGTTAGTGTCTGTCTCAGTTTCATTCATCTGGATTCTGACAGTGTAGACATTTAGCAGGCAGCTGTAACTTGGGTGCTCGGTAAATGTACTAGACTGAACCGCTCTCGCCCACAGAGCAGATTATGAAGAAACAGGGAACAAACAGTGATGGGATGCCAGGGTTTGTCTGTATTGCTTTGGAGCCTGTCCTGGAACTCACTTAGACCAGACTGGCCTCGAACTCACAGAGATCCGCCTGCCTCTGCCTCCCAAGTGCTGGGATTAAAGGGGTGCGCCACCAATGCCAGGCTGAAAAACAAATTATACCCAAGAACCCACATACATTCATGTCCAACCAACTTGTTATAGATTAACAGAGTATAAGCAAGCAAGATATTTTTCTCAGCCAGCTCTATTCCTGGCAGGCTTCATTTTGCAGTTACAAAGAAAGGATCAATCACTTTATTATTTACCTCAAAAAGTAATCATATGAAAAAAATCCTAAAAAGATTACAAATCTAAACTTTTATAGATGAAAAGCAATCAGTCAGCTCTACTTTGAATCCTCGGGTTGCACACCCATTCATTAGCCATTTTTTATGTCAGGAAGCTGAGGGCAGAAATGGATGCCAGGAATTAATGATCACTTTTGATCACCAACCCATCTATAGCAAGAAAGACACGTCAACTAATAATACCCGGGCTGTCTTTGTTCTTATTTTTTGACTTCAGTTAGTCCCTTGCCCAACCATTACAAGTGTGTCTTTCTAAACTTTATAGATTATTCCCCAAGATTTTCTACCTCAAAGCCATTAACAAAAGCACCTTAACCTAACCTTACTAACAATCTACAAGTCTAAATTCTTTCTAAGGGTGGTGGTTGAATCATTAGTCTGCTCCAGCAGCAAGGCTTGGAAAAAGTCATTTATTTACTTAAAAAATTATTTAAGTACCAGCAACACTGCCCAGTGAGGGGCTAGAGACCCCCTGAGAGTTTCCATACAACTCTACTTTATGAGGGATGTGGTGACCTTGAAGGCAATGATCAGAGCCACGCTGACTCAATAACAGCATGGGGTCCTCAGGGCAGTAGCCAGGGCTCTCTGCCTCTCTAAGGCTCACTCAAGCCAACCACCCAGCCGTGTTCCGTGAGTTCCAATGCCGCCTGCTGGTTGCCCCCTTCACAGAACCTTCCTGGCCTCTTCTATCCTAGCTCTTACGGTGTTGCTGTTCTTCTTGGGTGGGACCCCATTTTTGTGGTAAATATTTCAAGAAGAAATAGCAACACGCTGACTCACTTATCCATGCACTCAGCCATCACCAATTCTGAGCCCTCGTAAGCCCACACCTTGTCCTTGGTGGTGTGCTTGACAGTGTGAGGATGGCAGACACACTGTATTGTGTTCCCTGTGGGGTGCCACAGCCTCAGCCCCTGACACACTGGAGCTGTGGGGACAGACGGCGTAATATATGCACATCCTTTTTCTCTAACCCCTGTTCTCCTATTTCACCCCGGGCATTCGGTAGTCATCCTTCAGGGCAGAAAAAACTACGGGTAATGAATGCCCCAGGAATAACCCTTGACTGCTAAGGCATGCGGGTGCTATCTCCTGCGGGAAGTTCTGTCTGTACCCAGCATCACATCTTTCCCTCCAGTTATGTCGAACTGTATGTAACCTACTCATGGGTACAGCCTCATTTTGAGGGTTTTTCTTTTTATTTCCTCCCCAGTCTCACTTCCTTATCCCCGTGGTCTTAGAGCCAGCTTTGGGAAGAACATACACTAAACCATATGCAGTGGGTGTTTGTAAGCTGAGTTAATTAACAATTAGTTGAGTAACAACAGTCTGATCATTCAAAGAAACTGCCCAGGAAGGACAATAGAGTTTAGAATGTACAGTCAGTGTTAACAAGAGAGAAAGTGAAAGTTGATTAGGAAAATAGACCATTGCCTTCAGAGGAAGAAGCCATTGAGACTTCGTGCTTGCCCAGCTCAGAGGCACAGTAGGGGCAGAGTGCACACTGTGTGATCTTATGGGCTGTCACATTACCTTTGAGGAAAGATGATGGCACCTCTTGTTGTCCATGTGTCTCTACAGCCACACTGGGCCCTGCCTGCTCACGGGAGGCAGTGAGGGGTAGTGACAGGGAAAAGAGAGTGGGAACCAGCCAAATCACAGGCCAATGAGATGCCATAGGATGTGATAGATACTTTGAGTGCTAGTTTTTAAGATAAGATAGTTTTACTTTAGTGTGTGTGTGTGTGTGTGTGTGTGTGTGTGTGTGTGTGTGTGTGTTTTACCTGCTCGTGTACATGGGTGGAGTGCCTGCAGAGGTCGAGCAAGGATGTCAGACCTCCAGGAACTAGAGATAAAAAGGGTTGTGAGACACCATTAGGGTGCTAGGAACCAAACCCAGGTCCTCTGCAAGAGCAACAAGTGTTGTTAACTGCTCAGAGCTGAAAGCAAGCCTGCTTGCCTTCCAGACAACATTAGCTCTGTTCAGGGCGCTCACTCCACACCCTAAACACTCACAGCAGGAACCATGGAGGAGGATGCTGCATAGCTGGCTTGCAGGGTGGTTTATACTCAGCTAGCTTACTTGAACAGCTCAAGACCTAAGAATGGTGCTTTATTTGTGACTTTACTACACTACTTTCTTTTAGATAGGGGACTTTCCAACTAGGCTGTTTACTTTTTCCTAAGTAGAAATTCTTACCATATGCAAATAATTAGGGGGATTTGTTTTCAGTCTGTAGACCTCTCTCATCTTGTCCTATCATGCCGACTACAACTTTCAGAACTGTCCTGAACAGAATCAGCAAGAGTGGATGGATGTCCTCTTCTCATCAACTATTAGCAGCGGGTCTTCTCTGTCAGGGGGTTGTTTGTTATAACTAACCCATTGCTTTTTCTTTTTAGCGGAAGACTCAGAAAGTGGTGTTTATATGCGATTCATGAGGTCACACAAGTGTTATGACATCGTTCCAACCAGTTCAAAGCTTGTTGTCTTCGACACTACATTGCAAGTGAGTATATCCGGTTTCCATGAGCTTCTAATACCTTGTGGGGGCAGCTGCTTGCATGGATTCAATCCATCAATGGCAGCAGGTCTTTGCTGAGCTCTTTCCAAGAATCAGACCTTGGGCTGAGGTTCTGTCTATATCCCCATGGTAACCTCATAAGGAACATGCTATTGCTAAGCTCATTCTACTGATACAAAGTTTAATACACAAACTCCTCATCCCCCAACTAGTGTGGTAAGGTGTGGAATTGGAACCAAGGCCCGTCTGCTGCTGGGTTGGAGCTGAAGCCTATGTGAACTAAACTGCCCCCCCCCCATTGGTGCCTGACTGTTTTTCTTAGTTATTAAGTAAATTTATGATTAATATTAGAAAAGATGTTGAGGTAGATAATTTCTTGAAAGAGAACTTATTGGTCTATTCCAGCAGGAAATGGTAACCTGATTATTTTGCTATTACAATTGTGCTTATTAGAGCTTATTTTTTTTTAATCAATATGGCTTGTAGTTACATGTGAAAGTTCTAATTTATATGTTCAGTGTAATAAGTTACATCCAGTGCATAAAATGTACAATACATACATGCACACATGTGCATACACACAGGTACACCACATCGCCAAGTAAGATTGTCTTCACTTGTGTTCCAAGAAGTAGATACTGAGCCAAGAACTTGTGGGCAAGTGGCTAATGACAGATGTGCTCCCAGGAAAACACCCAAAGGACCCCAGAAGCCAGCAATTGTGTGATTTCAACAACAGCCTGCTGGGGGCAGCCTCAGCCTGAGCCCCAATGGAACCCTGAGCTCAGCCTCTGTGTTCTGCACCCAGCGTTGCCCCGGGAGAGGCCTCTCAGGCTCCTCCTGCTTTGCCCAGCTGCCTTTCACCTACCACCACTGTCTGTGTTCCCATATGGTACACTTCAGAGGAAACACCAGGCTCTTGGAGCCATTCTTCCTGCCTTCTGTCCCTGCCACATGGGACCAACAGGAAGACAGAAGTGGCTTTTTGCTTTTGCTTAATTGCATTTTCTAATTTTTTTGTAAATTTATGAAAATACAATTTGTTTTGTAATTGAACTTTAAGACCCGAGAGCTGGTAGATTCTCGTTGAACCAGGTAACCCTCGGGCTTCCTTTTAACCTTTTAAGCCCCTAGGATTCCCTGATTCTTAGTCATAGGACAGAAAGCAAATACATGACTACAATAGGGAAGGTGGACATTAAAAAAAAAAAAGTCATTCTAAGAAACTTCTCTACAAGCCGGTGTTGGTGGCACACGCCTTTAATCCCAGCAATCGGGAGGCAGAGGCAGGCAGATCTCTGTGAGTTCGGGGCCAGCCTACTTCCAGGACAGCCTCCAAAGCCACAGAGAAACCCTGTCTCGAAAAACAAAAACAAAAACAAAACAAAAAAACAAAAAAACAAAACCTTCTGATTTTGTCCTGAGTTCAATTCCCAGCAACCACATGGTGGCTCACAACCACCTTGAATGAAATCTGGTATCCTCTGCTGGCATGCAGGCAGAAGACTGTATACATAATAAATAAAATCTTTAAAAAAAAAGAAAGAAAGAAAGAAAGAAAAACTTCTCTACAGTTATTGCTACAGGTTTCAGTATTTAAATAACTAGACATTCTGTAGGGTGGTGCTGACACACGCCTTTAGTCCCAGCACTCAGGAGGTGGAGGCAGGCAGATCTCTGTGAGTTCCAGGCCAGCCTGATCTACAAAGCAAGTTCCAGAACAGCCAGGGCTACACAGAGAAACTCTTGTCTTGAAAAATCAAAAAGAAAAAAGAAAAATCTAGACATTCCAAGTGCCCAAAATAAACTGCTGGCCCAGCCCACTACACCCTCGCCCCTGCCTCCCCCGCCCCTGCCTCCCTCACCCTTCCTTTTGGAAGCTGTAGCTCTTGACCCTTCACGTTTACATTGCACCAGTCTGCTGTTTACCTAGATTTTATTATGCCCTGGTGTTGACACTCTTTGGAATTAAGAATCCAAGCCAAGATGAGTAATATGTAAAAAATGTAATGCTTTCCGGATGCCCAAGGTCAATAATTCAGCAAATATCATTTCTGCAGCTAAGCAAAGCCATGTGTATATCCCGTCCCAGAAGTCAATTATCCTGTAGTGTCTGAGCTTGGAGGGAGCTGGAATGCATTCACAAGGAAACAGAGCCTCTTGGTGTTAGTTAGAGCAAAGTCTCCATCTCACTTGATGGGGACTTACTGCAGCAGTGGTCCTTGACACACCCAAGCAGAGGAACCACCTGAGTGCCTATTCCCAGAGCTCTGCTGTGTGAATGACTTCTAAAGGGCCCGTCACAGAATAGTGTAATGTGGCCATTAAGAAGAAGGAAAGAGAGCAAGTCAGAGTGGTAAATGCCTGTGATGCCAGCACTTGGGAGATACAGGCAAGAGGGTCAAGAGTTCAAGTTCATCCTCAACTACATGGTAAGTTAGAGGCTAGCCTGGGCTACTTGAGGGAAGAGGCGTGTAGTCAAGCTTGTCTTTGGGCTGCCAGCTCACAAAAAAATGCCACAGACATATTAATTATGAAAGCGTAGCCTTAGCTTAGACTTGTTTCTAACCAGCTCTAATAACTTCACCCATTTCTAGTAATTGACTTTCTGCCTTGTGGCTTTATTACCTCATCTTTGTATTCCCGTCCTGCTTGTTCTGTGTGTCCTGGCGTCTCCGCCTTCTTCTTCCCAGCTCTGCCCAGAAATCCTGCCTAGCTATTTATTAAAGCTATTATTCAGCTTTTTATTAAACCAGTCAGAGTAACATATCTTCACAGTGTGCAAGAAGATTATTCCACAACAGAGGAGAGAGGAGGAAGGAAGAAGTTTGTTGAAAAATTATGTTTGTTCGGTTTCTAAAAGGGGGGTGTAGAGCAGCAGGTATGATGACCACAGTGCTCCAAGACTGACGGATCTGGTAAAACGAAGTTAGCCACTTCCATGGAGACGAGAAGGGAGAGGCTCCAAGGCCAGAGGATAGCACTGGCAAGCAAGAGCAGAGTGGAGCTGGAACTCTGTGTCACCCTGAAACAAAGGAGAAAGAGCATGCTCGCTTAAGGCTTTCCAGCTTGGGTCTAGAGAGACCCAATCAACCACCTACAAAGCCCCCTAAGTTTATACTGTCATTAACTGAGGTTCCGAGTCTCCCCTTTTCATCTCTCAAGCCTGAGGAAGTATAAATCAAGTATAGTATGGGATAGCGCCCACTTAGGGGTTATCATCACCGTCACATTCTTGAGTGGTTCATGGTGCTTCCCGTGGCCATTGTGAAGCATGTCCCACAGGCCAGCCGTTTCCATCTGCCAGAGGAAGACACTGCAGGCATTGGTGTCACCTCAGGAAAGGCAAGCATTGTGTCCACCTAACAGACAGTAGAGTGCCACCATGCCCGCCAGCTGCTAGCTCAGGGGTCAGGGAATGGTAAGGTCAAGCAGCATGGTCTTTTGACAGCCCATGGTTTAGTTGAATCTCTGTCAGGGCCCAGCAGTGAGCTGGGAATGATTTCCCAAATGGAAAGAATTGTCACAGGGAACAACATGGCTGTGTCAGGATGTTTTCCTGGTATGGATTTCTTACTGATTGTGCAGCTTTCTAAGCATTAAGTGTCTACCTGAAGCTTCCAGAAGTCACTCAGAGTGCTGTGGTATCAGGTAGTGTCCGTCCTCAGGAACATCCTCTGCTCGTCCCCAGGGATGCTCTTCTCATGTGATTTGCTAACCTGGGGTAGCCAGGAATTCCAGAAGCTTCCTTTTCAGCTGAAGTCAGCAAGCCCTGGAGAGCTTCTGCATGGTGTTAGGATCACGCACTCAGGAACAGAGGAGAAAGCCACAGCCTGCAGCCCTACTGTGCTTTTGTCGACCCAAGCTCGAGCTGACATACTACCTGTTGTTACCTGACATCCTGAGCCCCCACCCTGACTAGAGGACTGGAGTGGCATTTTATGGTCAGAATCAATGTCCAGTTCCTGTTTGCAGTTCCCATGGGGAGGGCACCAAGCAGGGAACCCTGTATGTGAAAGTGGCATGGCCACAACCCTGGCCCAGGCTGGAGCCATCTGGAGGACAGGATCCCCCATTACGTGATGACTCAAGTCAGGCTTTTTGGCCATTATAGAGTTCTTGTTACATAGATAATAAACTGAGAAAGTTGGGTTAGTTTCATTCCTGGGGACACTAATCATTTAGCTGCCACCAAAGGTCCCTGTGGAGGCAGATCATTCTAACTGCCACTCCTGCACTGGCCGTCTGCTGCCCAGCAATACCATTCCCATGAAAACCAGCAAGGCTGCTCCGGGCACTGCCTGCACAGTGCCCACAATTAAGGCACGCTCCTTCTACAGCTCAAAGAGAGTATGAACCTGCAAATTGCCCTAGAGGGCCCAGCCAGTGGTCCTGTCTTCATTGTCCTGCCTGAGTAACTGTGGAGGAGTGGATAATGATTCACAGCACTAAGTATTAATATTAAATACAGTTTATTTCGGGGAGAGGTCACCTACAGAAGAAACAGATGGCCACCACAGGTTTCCGCTCTAAGGCTCCACATAGGCTGCTCTTCTGTGTCCCCACCTGGAAGCAAGAGAGAGCTCGGGGGTCCGGGACCCCAGATCTAGTCCTCCCTCCATCGTGTCCTCACCACCATTTGGGCGTGGTCAGTGCTAAGGGTGCGGGATAGCAAGAACTACAAGTAACGGTATCAGTCTCACTTCACATACCCTGAACGTGGTCAGGCGGCCATCGAACAGCTAGAGCCTCTTCCAGCTGCACAGGCAAAGCATTAAATGAGTGCACCTGTAGCAATCTGTTCCACTGGCTGAGTGGCCAATTGCTTTTGGCCTGTTCTCACACATTCTTTCCAGTTTTCTACAGATGTAAGATAGCAAGATGTTACATTCCATTCTGTGTGGAAGCTATTTCTTGCTGTGGGAAACAGGGCATGGTGAAACCTGTCCCTAACAAGAAGGTGGCAAGACTGACTGGGATTCTCT